GTGTTGCTTACATTTATGGCATCCCGATCCGAGTAGATTAAGCACGTGTCGTCTGCGTAAAGCGCCATTTTCCAAATTTTGTATTGTCAATACAATCGAATTAAAATCAAGCTTGCTGTGATTAATGAGAATGTCGACGGCTACATACAAAATACAATGTTATTTTATTTCTGAAATTAAATTTTAATCAATATTAGAATATTTATAATGGATGCACCAGCTCGATCGTTTATATTAGGAGTAAAAGGATACACATTCGTGCGTACGTGGCCATACTATACCTGTATATTAATATTTAGTAATATCTAATTTAATATCTATCTAATATCTGGTATTTCAAAAAATGTAATTAATATTAGTATTAAGTTATCATTAAGAAATATTGAACTACTTTTAATACTTATTTCTTATTATATTATATTATTTTTCTAAAAATAATTAATTATAAATATATATTAAAATTTATTAAAATTGTTTTTGTAATTTTAATAAACCATTAACCTCAACTTCTTTTAAATTTTATTTTCGCTGTTTCTTTTATTCCGACCATATATAAATATGTGAAGTTTGCCTATCATTAGGACAGTAAGCATTGGAAGTAGTGCAACCATAATTTTTGTTAGTGTAAATGCTATTAATATGTTCGGCAGTAAAGGCAGCCTATGTTCTATAGAAGCAATTATATTCTGAAGTATATTAAAAAATAATATGATGTTTAATAATTAATTATGTTTTATATTTCTATGTTTTAAATATTAATTTAACGCATTTAATCAAGTTGAAAGACTTAAGTTAATAAAAGAGACTATAGGTACGATTTTCTTGGTATATTACTTCATATAGTAAATTCATAATTACATGAGTTTCAAAATTTTTATATATATGCGTATAGATTTTTAAAAATATTGTTATTCTACATAGTAAATGCATTTTTATTAAAACTCAAATGTTGTACGACACAGTTCTACTTTATTCAGCAAAAAACAATTATCTTAGTTCCAGGATATTCATTGACATTGTAATGAATCCTCTGTGCGTCCAGCCAAATGTATTTTATTGATCATTTCATTTCATATTTTACGATTATCTCAAACCATAAATAAGATATATATACATTTTAGTAATAAGTTTTATTTTATTTCATATTAAAATTATGCATTTAATTATCAATAAATATTTAAGACTCATTAAAATGAATAATTCGTTTTTACATTTTTGTGATCTAACAATTATTTACAAAACAAATACATTTTAACATATATATATGTGCTTATAAATTTATATTTTCTTGTTAAAATTATTTTATTCAAAATAATATTTTCTTGCTATTTTTTAATAAAGGTGAGAGAATTCGATATTCCTCTTTCTTTTTAGACGTTGTTGCTTTCATATAAGGACACTCATTAAAAGGCTGCTTTCATTTAAACACCAATTGTGGTAATTGTGGTAAATTAATTTTTAATTTAGATATAAAATATTTACAAAAGATTGTGACTGCTTAATTTTTTTTGTAGTGTTATTAAAAAAATTTTAATTTAAAATAAACGAAGTTTTGAATACAAAATAATTCTATATTAAATTTTTAATTCAGTTAAAAATAAATAAAGCATGTTTTGTTTTGGCAATCCGAGTTTAGGATGTGAAGAACTTTTAATAATTACTTATTATTATTAATATGATATCAACAATATTAATATGAAATCATATATTTTTTCAAGTATACAATTTTTTACCTAATTACATATAACATACGTGCAATTTTTTTTTATTATATTTATTGTAATTAAGACAACTTGTATGCTTCGAATAATAAAAAAGAAAGAAAAGAGAGTTTTAATGAAACTTTATACTTAAACAATTTTTGAAATTATGATTTTGTTCCATTATAATGAAAAAAATTTTTTTTCAGCAAACACATATAAGGTTTCTCTACATATTATTAATTATATAGATTTTGTTTCAGATTTGCTTCAACCCATTTTTACTTTCTGATTTTAGAAATAAAAATACTGCTTTTTATTAACTCATTCTATTCACTGTTTTAATTTAAAATAATAATATTTAATACACATTACTATATATTAAATTCGGCAGTACTTGAATTCCAGCTTGAATATGTTTTTATATTTATTATATATTTAGGTTTCATTTTAGTTTGTATTTCTTTTAATTTTTATTATATTACTTATTTTTAATTTATTTCATTATTATGCATATGAAAATCTACAAACTCCTCACAAGTGATATTTTTAAACCTGTAATTATTAAAATATTTTTCAATATATGCATATAATTTAAATAATTCTTAACTTAAATGCTCACATTTTTCACTTAACTTTCCTAATTTTATTTTCAAAATTAAACAATTACAATTTTAAATTATTTTGAAGATAAAACAAAATTAAAATAATTGTTTAGTTTCGAAAGATTGACATATAATTTTTATTAAATAACTTTATTTGATGTTATTCTTATATATAACTGTGTGTGTGTGATCGTATTCTTCCTTTATTTAAGTTTACATCTTTTTCTTCTTAATTTGGAATTGTATATCATTGAATAACGAACATTATAACATAAATAAATAATATTGTATATAAATAAAAAACATAACTCTCCATTTATTAAAAAAAATAATATAAACAAATTTAAAATGATTTAAATAAAATTTAATTAGAATGTATTTTGTTAATATGAATAATTTTTTTCGTTTTATCCTGACATTTATGTGTAAGATATAAAAAAATTATTTTATAATACTTTTAATATTAAATTTTTATTATTTAGTCTAGTCTTTATTATAGATTTCAACGTAAATAAAATTAATTGATAATGAACTGTCATAGTTGATTACAAATCGTTATAAATTTACTTATAATAATAATTTTTATTGTCAATTATTATTATTAATAGTAATTTCTTTTTAAGAGTGATTAATTAGAGCTAAGGCGGCAAAAGAAAGTAGAGATGCTTCCTAGAAAGGAATATTATTGCATTTATTGAATAGGATTAAAAATTCTAATTTTCTTTTTATGTGCATACATATGTATAATTACAACAAAATTTTTTTTTAAATTAAATTTGAAAACAATTAATTTAATTCTTAAAAATAAAGAAGAAAACTTTCCATATATACGTCTATCTGTTCGAAACATAGTAGTGTTCCCTTCAACTTTTATATGTTAATCCCAATTAAAAGTTCTATTTAATTTTTATGTGTGCCGCATACTATTTTAAAAACCTTATAAGTTTTCAATATTTTAGGCATTATCTAAAATATATATTTTAGTTTTCATGTGTCAATTTATTTATTTTATTCATTTTTTCATTTAAAAATATATGAATTTTTTTTAAAAAATTTTTTTTAATTATTTAATATACTATATACGGCTAAAATAATGAATTTCATTTATTCTGTGAAATATGAAACGAATCAGAATAATTTTTTTAACAGAATTTATCAGTTTAATTAAAATTGATAAATTTATATTTATATCTATATAATATTATATAGACTCTGAAAATGGTTTGTTTGCAGATGATACTTAAATTAATTCTATGATATTGGTGACAGATTAGAAACAATGAAATTATTTGATAATTGAAGGTCTTACTAAAAGATTCATTCATTTAATTATTCATTCATTTTAAAAAATCTATTTAAGTAGTTCCACTTTATTAGTTAAAGATTAAATAGTATGTAATTGTGCTTAACTTAAAAATAATTTTTTAAAAAATAATTGAGTTTTTATTATTTTAATGATAAACTTTTTTAGAATTTGTCTTATTTTTGATTTTTTCAATAATATTAACATATCCATTTTTATAGTAGTAGTTCTCCTAATTAGCTTAAATTAACCAATAAACTTAAAACCCAGTGCTGTATTGAATATAATTTTAATTTTCATAATAATCAAGTAATTTTTTTCAATAGATTTTTTCAATATATATAGTTTTTAAACATTAAATGATATATTCGCCTATTTAATTTTTAACACATTGAATTGTATTAAATGTTAGGTCTTAGGTTAATTTAGGTTGTTGTAACACAGATGGTTTACTCACTTAGAATCAACAGTTTTATTGATATTGAGTATTAACTAGTTAAAAACCTTTGTTTTAGTTGAGTTTAAGTAATATATTATAACATAATATATTGTACAAGAAAGAAAAAATGCTACGTATATAATTAATTATGATTATATGTGTAACATAAACATTTTTTAATGTTTTGATATAATGATAAAGGTAGTCTATTAAAATTGCAACAAGATATAATTGATTTTGAATAAGTTTGAATATAGTATTAAACCAAATATTTTTTTTATATATAAGTATCTCAAATAATTAAAGTTGTTTTCAATCCTTTCCCTTGCCATCATACAGCTAACTGAACATTAATTAAAACTTAACAAATATATAAATAAAGAAAAGGTTAAAAGAAAATAAAAAAACAAACTTACAAAAATAATTATGAAAGCTATATTTTATTTTAGTATATAAATTAAATGACTATTTTCATATGCATTCATTTCATATTTTAACATAGGAACATTACTACATATATAGTATGTATATATAAATATTTTATAGAAACTAAATTTTAAAATTTCTTAAACTATAATTATATATATAACAAATGAAAATAATGAGAAATTAATTTCCAATATATATGCAAATAATTTTAGGTATAATTTAAAATAATATGTTACTTTAAATATAAATATATTTTAGTTTTTATAATATAAAGTGCGAAAGCATCAAATCTTACTCGGCAAACTTATATGATTAAAAAAAATTTAGTATTTTGCTGCACTTATAGAAATATATCACTTTGTTTGCAATTTTGATTTTAATTAAATAATTAGAACAGACATACATTTTATTTATTTGCAAAAAACAAAAAAATTAAATAAAATATTAAAGCAAAAATTTGGCTTAACTTTTCAATTTCTTAAAAATATAGTTGCAAACATGTTCTTAAAATAAAAATAAATAAGCATTGCATTTGTTTTACAGCTAATTTCAAAATTAATTTAGAAAAATATGTGTATTATAATTAAAATGAGCTTATTCTATAGAGCAGTATGCTACCACAGTTAACGCTTAGAAAATGTTAATGTGGAATTCACTAACAATTGCCTCGAGATATCCTTTGAGGCTGTAATAGGAACGATTGCGCCAGTAAATGTTGTTGTTCACATGTTGCATAGCCACCTCTATAGCGGATTCCACTGCCGTAAGACCCAATTTACGTGCTCGTTTAGCAAATTGTTCCAACTGTTCTTTGTGGTATTCTTTATTCATATATGTTGTAATGGATTTTATCATCTCGGATAGCGTTGAGAAGCCGTCACCAAAGCTGTGTATTATATTTAGGAATTTAATAAAATATTGTAATAATTAAATTATATGATGATAACTCACTAATCTGCAATTTCTTTAATGTTTGTCTGTAAGAAATCAAATGCAATTTCATAGCCAATAGGATTTTTGGCAACAGAACGAAAGGCACGCGCACCATCTTGTTTTAAAATACCAGAAGTAGGGTTGATTGTCATATTTAAATACCTACAAATATTTATATATAAATAAAATGATTAAATAATATATACTTATTATTAAAATTTCACTTACTTTGAGAGTAACCACGGTTTTGTCGTACAACCGAGTGATGTTAGTATTTGCTCTTTCTCCGATGCGCTTGTGCTACGTTTATATTGCTTGTAAGCGAAATACCATTCCTGAAATGATCCCTCAGCTAATGCAGTGCAATAAATTGTTGGTTTCAAATTGGGTTTGATACTGAAATATAATGTTAGAATATGGTAAATGATATATCTATGGAATAAATTGAACAAAAGCAGTAAATCTAATGGATTTCAAGTAAAAGAAAGATAATTGAATTAATTTTAAAAAATTTGTAAATACGAAAGAATGTAAAAAAATATTAAAATATATGATTAATTTAAAAAAAAACTGCTGTAATATAGCAGATAAATATGTAAACATATTAATATTAATCTACAGAAAATTGTAACATATTTTATAAAATTTGACCATAAATATGTAAAAGACTGATATGGGTTTTTTGCTGGGAACGAAACATTCAGAAAGAATTTATATTATGTATACTTGCTTAGAAAAAAAATATTAAAGGTTCTGGAGGATGGTACCTAAAACTTCTCTATATTTAATAACTTTTATGGTATGTCTAGGAACATAGTCAACAGTTATGGTACAGAATTAGTAGAACTAGAAACATAAAAACATAAATCCCAGCAATTAATTGGATTTTGATATGGTCTTATTATTGTATTATTTTTAATATATGCTTGCTGCTTCGGAGATATGAAGTGAATTTTTTTTAATATATAATTACTACGGGTAATACTCTTTTACTTACGGATTTAGTTTGGCATCAGCCATCCATTCACGGTACTTGAGATGAGCTGCCATTGTGCAACGATCATAGTTAAACTTGCAAGCCAAACGAGCGACTACCGCACGATGCTGAAGCTGCAAATGCGACTCATTGTCAGGTTCATTCAAACCGTAACGTTCAAAAGCTGGACGCACGTTGAACTTCATGAAAGCCTTTAAATATTAATAAAATTATTCTAAATATTTCTTAAATATAATAATAACTATACAATAATTTTTATAATTTCAAGTAATGAATAAATATTATATATCATAAACTATTTTACTTACTCTAAAGGTTTCATATGCCGGTTCACGCTGAAGCATATCAATCAAATAATTTAAACCATTTTGCGCTGCATTCCATAATAATTCATCATCGGTGGCTGAGAAAATTTCTATAAGGAATGTCAATGGTATGTCGTATGTTAAATACTCCGCCTGTGCCAAATGCATTGCATCATCTAATAGTTGAGCACGTGTTACACGCGGCAACGTGCTAAACTTCTTACGAAGAGCCAACCAAGAAGCCAAATCATAGTTAACGCGAAAATAGCCAGTGCGATATAAGTTCAGATAGACTACATTATCTGTGTTATTATCACTGGAGAAGACATTATTAATAATAATTTCAGTGTCATTTTCTTGCATCCAATGTGTTGGAATATTATCTCCTTTGTGCAATTCATCAGTTTCAAACGAAATTGGTATAACCCAACGACTGTTATCGGATACGTTTCTTGATGGAAGTATGTAACGTTCTTGTTTAACAACTAAATCAGCATCACGTCTTTCTACTGTCACAACGGGATAACCTGGTTTTGATATCCATGAATTCATCACATCCTTAATATGCATGTTTTCTGGTAATGTTTTCTTGGCATGAGCATGGTGTGACATATGCGCCCAAAGCTCTTCACGGTCTGCATTATTATAAGCTGCTGTTTTTAATAAATCTTGCGTAGCATCACGAAATGCTTCATCGCCTACTATTGAATTCAACATACGTAATAAAATAGTTCCCTTTGAGTATGTAATCGGATCAAAAATACGACGTATATCCGTCGTGGATTCAACATCAAAAGATATGGCATGTGAACTGTTATCGGCATCATGTTGCATAGCTTCTTTAAATTCGAAAACAGTAAATATATCCATAATTTTATACTCGGGATGTGCGTTGTTCAATGCAATATAGCTCATGTAACAAGCGAAACCTTCTTTCAACCAGAGATCATCCCACCATTTCGGTGTGACTAAATTACCAAACCATTGATGTGCCAACTCGTGTGCAACAATTTGAGCAACATGT